ACTTATTTTCCCATGAAAAAATGTAACTTATTTTATTCATCCAATAATTTATGTAGTATATATGTATATTTTCAATTATTTAAGTATTATCTAATAATTCATATTTTATTGTATAAACTTTTTTTTCATTTTTATTATTCCTTTTTACATTATTTATACTATTATACACTTTTACAATTATTAGACTTTTCTGTGTATGCTTTTCCCACACCCTTGTCTGGATGATGTGTACGAGAAAGAGAAAAAGAGAGAAAGAAAAAAGAAAAGAAGAGAGAAAGGGAGAGAGAAAGAATAGAATAGAATAGAATAGAATAGAATAGAATAGAAGTTTATTCGTGCAGTACATACATAAAGTGTTTGCATACGTCAATAGTAATACATAGTATTAGTATAAATCAAAATCAGTATAACAAAAACAAAAAAAACATTGTACAGTGAATATACAGTCAAATACAACACTCTTGGCAAAGAATACAGACATAAAAACAGAGATATAGCAGTACACAAAATATCTGTTACTACTAGGCAGTTAACGAATTAGTTAAACGTTCGAAATGAACAAAATCATCCTCTCACAAAACTAATTAACCAGGCATTTAGGGAAAATATCTTTCCAGATGTTCTAAAAATTGCTCAAGTTATACCTATATATAAAAGTGGTGAACTGGACTTACCCCAGAATTACCGACCTATATCTCTCCTGCCAATAATATCAAAAATACTAGAAAAATGTACTGCCATCAGAATAACAAAATTTTTCGAAGAAAATAAGTATTTTACAGAATGTCAATTTGGATTTAGGAAAAATAAGAATACAGTATTGGGAATATTGGATCTAGTATCATATATTTATGAAGCTTTTAATAATCTAGAATTCACAAGTGCCTTGTTCTGTGATCTGAGTAAGGCGTTTGATTGTGTGTCACATGAAATTCTTTTGCGCAAACTAAAAAGTTACCACTTCTCAGCAGATAGTTTTACCTTTCTCAAGTCTTACCTAACAAATAGAAAACAAACTGTGAAAGTAGATAGTGTTTCATCGGCACTTAAGGATGTCACAATCGGGGTGCCCCAAGGCTCAGTCTTGGGGCCCGTCCTGTTTTTAATATATATAAATGACTTGCCATCTATAGAACCAGGAGCAAAATTCACACTATTCGCGGATGATACGACGGTGGCCATTTCAGCAAATACACTAAAAGAGGCTCTAAGGAGTACAGTAGATATTCAAAATAACATCCAGAGTTGGTTTTGTGCCAACAAACTTCTACTCAACACCGGAAAAACAAATAAGATTGTCTTTTCAACTAGGGACACGGGTGTGACCAACGGTGACGTGAGTAGTGTGAAATTTCTGGGGGTACAGATTGACCCACTGCTGCAATGGGGTGTGCATATTGATGGGGTGGCAAGCAAATTAAGGAGTGGCTTATTTGCTCTTCGCTCTCTAGCTGGTAATGTCTCTATTTCTTCATTGAGGACAGCTTACTTTGGAATGTTCCATTCTGTGATGTGCAGTGCGATATTGGTATGGGGGCACGTACCACAGTCAAAGAGAATATTTGCGTTGCAAAGAAAGGCTATGAGAATTATTGCAGGACTAGGGTATATGGATGACTGCCGTGAGGTATTTGGCGAGCTTGATGTGTTGACTCTGCCATGTGTATACATACTCGAATGCCTGATATACGTTCACAAAAATAAAAATTTATATAGGACTCACGCTGAAAATCACGAAATTCAGACAAGAGGTAGGAATAGGTTAATACCAGTCCATCAACGTCTAACAAGGTGTCAAGACGGCCCTGGGTACTTGGCTGTAAAATTTTACAATAAAATTCCTATCAATATCATGAATTTAGAATTTGATAATTTCAAGAAAGAAATAAGAGGTTTACTCAATCAACGCAGGTTTTATTCAATAGATGAATTTTTAAACTACAACTTCTGATAAGAAACGAGTTTTAACATAACTTTAAGGTACTCAGTACAGTGTCTAAAATTTTGTATTAGTATATGTATTTTTATATTTTTTGTAACAGTAATTGAATTATGTATTATAGCTTGACGTGTGTAAATACAATTGTATGTTAACATAAATAAATGAAATGAAATGAAAAAATGAAATGAAATGAAATGAAATGAAAATATTCTTCAAATGTGTAAAAGGCATTTTCTAAAAGAATGTTTTTGATTTTTACTCTGAAAGTGCTTATACTCATGTCAGGAGACTGAAACTCATTAGGTAACACATTAAAAAAATTTAAAGATAAATATAAATAGGAGTTTTGCGATTTACTCAACCTATATTTGGGTAGTCTCAAATTTGTTTTGGTCCTGGTATCATGGTGGTGTATGTCCTCCTGCCTGGTAACTTTATTTTCACCTCTTTATTTTTTGGCATAACACAAACATTCATATATGAAGCAAGATCGCAGAGTCAAGATGTGGAGATTTTTGAAAAAAGGTTTACAATGGTCATCATATTTGGCCTGTGCCATAATTCTGACGACTTTTTTTTGTAATTTGAATATTATATCTGAATGACATGATGAACCCCATACTATCAGTCCGTATGTCATTATGATGTGGAAAATGCCAAAATAAGCTACTCTTAAACAGTCTGTTGTTATTATTTTGCTAAGTTGTCTTATTACATATATACACGTTGATAGGCGCTTCGATAATTTCTGAATATGAGGTAAGAAATTTAAAGATGGGTCCAAATACACTCCAAGAAGCTTCACTGGTTCAAAATTTTCTATATTATCTTTTGTTGAGAAATCTAAAGTTCTGGTTTTATCATCATTCAAAGTGAGATAGTTGCTTCTAGACCAGTTTGTTATGAAACTTTCAGATTCGTTAGCGTTGGAGAGTAAATTGGAAGGCATAGTGTCACATAAGAGAAAAGTGGCATCATCAGCATACATCACCGGAGACACATTCGTTAGGTTGAAAGGCATGTCATTAATATAAATAATAAATAATACAGGACCAAGGACAGAACCTTGTGGTACTCCATAATTGACTTTCAAAGGTTTTGATATATCGCCGTTGAATTTAACACGTTGCTGGCGACCTGCAAGGCAGGATGTGAATAGATTTAAGGCGTTTCCTCTGATCCCATAATATTCTAATTTTTGCAATAATACACCGTGGTCCACCGTGTCAAAAGCTTTAGACATGTCGTAAAATTTTGCACAGCACAATTTACGCTCTTCAAAAGCTTCTATGATGTTTTTATACATTTCGCAGATTGCGTCGACAGTGGATCTCTTCTGTCTGTAACCAAATTGAGCATTATTCAATAAATTCTCTTTTTCGAAGTATCCTAATAATCTATTTTTTAGGACAATTTCAAATATTTTTGAAATGATGGGTATAATAGAAATAGGCCTATAACTGTCTGTGTTATTGAACTCACCTTTCTTGTGTATAGGAGTAACTAGTGCTATTTTGAATATTTGAGGATACATGCCTTTCTCGATACATATATTTATTAAATTTGCAATAGGCTTAGCAAGTGCATCGCTAACCAGTTTCAAAATCTCACTGTTAAGGTTGTAAGTATCTTTAGATTTACTATTTTTCAAATGTGATATTATGATTTTGATTTCGATATCGCAAACTGGAAATAAAAAAAAATGATTTATTTGCACCAGGTGCATTATTTAAAAACGTTGAAAACTTGGTGTTGTCTACGTTATCAAAGTTGGTCATTAAGTTATTTATAACATCAGAGAAGTAGTCCGAGAAATCAATAGCTGACAATTCAGAAGTTACATGTGAATATTTATTTTTTCTATTTTCGTTTATTATGTCTCATGCTATTTTTTGTTTGTTATCAGAAGTTAGAAATCGTTGACTATTGGCATTTAATTTTCCTTGTTTTATTTTGTTTATGTATTCCTTCTTCAGAGTGTTATATACCTGAAAGTCTTTATTGTTTTTTGTTGAACAAGCAATTACATGAACAGCATCCATGGTGCGTTTCAATCGTTGCATATCATCATCGAAAACAAACTTTTGTTTATCTGGCTTGGGTATTTTTATAATTTTTTCAACAAAACATTGATTGTAGAAGGTTGATAGCATATCGACCAGGAAGTTTGCAGATTCATCAGGATTGTTTATTTCATCAGATATTTCCCAATTTACGTTATTTACACATTCTATGAACTGTTGCTTTCCATGTTCAGTCATAGGTCTGCATGTAATATACTTGTCTTTTGACGTGTTACTTGTGGCAATAGAGAAGGAAATGCCTTTATGGTCAGACATATGTGGCTCAATTACATCCACGATCAAGTTTTTGTCAATGTTAGTAAACAGATTATCTATTTTTGTAGCACTAGTGCTGGTTACCCGTGTATTTTTGTAAACTTTTTCCTCTAAATTGTATGACAAGAAAGTGTTTATACAGTCATTCACATTTATATTATCCAAGATATTGAAATTAAAGTTAAAGTCGCCAACCACAACAATTTGGTTATTAGAAGGTATCATTTCCAGTACATTATTTAGTGCATGCAGGAAAATATCAGTGTCACCCTTAGGAGATCTATATAAACATAGGAAATAGATTTTTTCATCAACTAGCTCTGTCAACGTAAATTCAGCATGAATATCTACACGAAATTGGTTGATTTCTATAGATTTGATTTTAACCAAGTCCCGAGCAAAAACACATACACCACCATGAGCAGACGTGCTTCTACAGTAATATGCTACAAGTTTAAATTTAGGAATGACAATGTTTGCTAATTCCGTTTCGGAAACCCAACTCTCGGTGAGAAACAGTATATCTATTTTGTTAATACACAGAAAATATTCAACTTCACTTAATTTGTTACTTATACATTGAATATTTATATAAAAAGCATTTATTCTATTTTTACCAGATTTCAGCTCATTACCCAACCTGTCGCCTGTCATTTCGAATACATTAATTGTCTGAATCTTGGTATAAGTAGCTGCGAAGTGTCCTGAAGATTCTGCTTCTATGGTTTTGATATCAGCTGGGAAGGGCGGGGGTATAAAAAAATATTTTCATATTTATTTCGGGTGTCGTCAGTTTTATCACCATGAGGTGCATTCCTGGGCTTCAGTTGAAAAAACCTCTGTATGTGGGCACCATGTGGCCATATTGTTGGGTCAATTGCATTCTGGTAGTTATAGTTGTAAAGACTAACTTTGAAAGAACTATAGAGATGTGGATGCTTCGAATTTAATGCTGTTACGACCACTTCAGGAAACCGTGTTTTGACAATTTCCTTCAATTCTTCAGCAGTCATTCTGGGATCAACCCTGTATATATGAATGTCGGCAAATTTTGGGACCCCTCTGATTTCTTTTCCATTTATTTTGATTTCGTCATTTCTTCCAATGATTATGTGTTTTCTGTGTCTTTTCCTTTTTACATCTTTCCATTCATTCTGATTTTGAATTTCAGATGGATGACTATTCCTTTCCAAATTCATAATTTCCTTACATGCCTGTTCGGTGTTAATCTGCATTAGTGCAGCTGCGACATCAGTTTTAGTAATCGCAGACTTTTGAGAAGAACTGGCAACAGCGCTATATTTGGCGCCTTCAGACATCGGAACAGGTGATACCTTTCCCGGTATAATATCGCGCTTATCGTCAACGATATCATCATTTTTTGCTCCATTGTTTTTTCGAACTGTTTTCGGTCGATCTTCATTTCTTTCCTTTAATAATGTTATTTGTTCACTCATCAAATCAAATTTGTCGTATAATTCCTTGATCAATTTGTCTTTTCGTTTCAAAATATATTTGAATAGATTAATATCCATTACCTTATTTTCATGGCTTAAATTATCCATGGCGTCAAAAAATAGCTGGTCGATGGATGGTTCTGGTTCGCAACACATGATTGAATCATCACTGGTAAACTTAACGAAGTTGCAATTTTTAGCACAGCTCACGTGGAAGTTGTTTGCACAGTTTATACATTTTAACCCGTTTACGACGTTTTTTTTTGCACTTTTTGCAGCATTTATTACGGAGAACATTTTCGGGTGATCCCAACGCGCTAGCCATGTTGCCAGAGAGGGAGAGAGAGAGGGAAAGAGATGTAATAAGATGTGAGTTGAAAGTATGGATGTAAAACAGTTGTATCGTGTCTTCTGACGAATACAGACGTGCACTAGAAGAATTTGGCTTGAAGGTTAGACAACTCAGCGCAGACATCCAATTGTATGAGCAGAAAGTTTGTCTGTTTAAAGATTTTGAGAATTTGAGTGTTTGGGACAAGGTGTTTACGGAACCGAGACTCACAGCTGCACCTACATCGAGAAGAAGAAGAATTCAACCAACATAGCTACTAGATGGCGATACTGAAAGCAAGCTTCATTCTATTGACAGCTCTGAGCAACAACGTCTTTTACACAAACATACCGTACAATACGAGGAATGCAGCCGTATGTTTTGATGTGAATCGTACACGACAGTGTGATTGGAAGCTGATGCGTAGAATGTATGTCAATGATAACAAACTACCTGTATATTCATTCGACATGTCGCAACATGTTAATGAAAGCAGCATCCACTATAAATTGAAATTATTGTTTTCTGATGGCAGTGACGGCGAAATGGGAGACTGGCAGACACTTGCATTGAAAAAATCCTCCGCAAAATTGCATCAAGATACTGTCAATGTCATTGAAATTTTGACACTTTGTTGTTCATTAATATGCTCGCTTATTTTAATCTCAATTGTTATTGTTGGAATACTGAGAAATAAGGAATGTGATGAATAAAAACTCTGAAATTATTATATATTTTTTTTATTTCGGTAATAAATTACATAACCAATTATATAAGGTATCGACATTGTGAAGACTGCACTGGAACCTTCCTCCATGGAAATGATTCGTGCAGGGTGGAATGGATTGTAGGAACGTTATTGGCTGCCACCAATAATTGTCAAAATCTTCCAAATTAACAATGTGATTGGTCATCTCCGACTCTGCACATTTTCGCTGCAAAAACTGAATCTTTTGATGGCCTCTTACGTAGATGATGTTTGTCTGCTGCAGGTTATCTCGTAGTATTTGATCCAGCTCATTCAAATCCACATTACCACTGGAATATTTTAAACCATGAACGTAACGTTCCACATGATTCGCCATCTTTTTATCTTCTTTGTTCAAACTGGAAAACTCTACAGATGGCTTGAATAGAAAATGACTCGTCTTTTTGCCAATGCGGATAGCCATTTCCTTCGGAATGAATTCACCCTCAACCATGAACGCTTGAATGTCAACCAGTGCGATCTCCATGACTCTTCGAAGCAAACTGACGTCTGACTGGTGTGACATCAACACCTATAACTAGGCGATATTTCGAACAATTTCGCTGAGTGGGAGGTGTTCTATGATTTGGTCATGAACGATGATGCAATAGGCTTTGGTGTCAGGAGGGAAACCTGTCGTCGCTTCAATGTCCAACTTTATGTCAACTGTAGACGACTTCATGCCTAGATGGCGCCTCGAGCAATCGATAACAAACATTGGTCGGGTTTTGAATTCTTTGAAATCCACTAGAGAGCGTTTTTGTTGACAGTTATGATAGCTCTTGTTGAACTCTGTATAGTTGAAGTGAACGTCGGCATATTGGTCTTTGGAAAAGTCCAATAGCATTCTTTCTTGCGGATAATAGTCGCTATTCAGAGCCAATCGTATGGATTTGATGTTGGCATTATCGAACACGGTGACGTCTTCATGCAAATTATTGGCTTTTTCCGTTTGGAAAAATACTATAACATATCTGGGACTCTTTAATGCAAAACACGTCTTGACCGACCAGATTTCTATGGTGGATCCTTGTGTGAGTGCTGGTAGCTCGGGCAATTCCCATCGACGAAACGGTATCATCATAGACTCATCTGCCTCGATACGTGTCAACAACTGCAACTTTATGTCATCGTTGGGCGTAAGATGCGGCACTTTCAAATTGATGCTTTCAATCGTTATTTCAGCAGTGCTCTGAATCTGAGGAGATCCTGGCAAAGCAGTATTCACTCTCTCGACAACCTTCACACTGTTGGCATCATTGCGAGCTCTCACTAAACGGATAGACTGCTTGCCCCACGTTGCCACTTGATGATCGTTAAAGATGGAAAACAAATGTTTCAGTGGAATGTTCATGCTAAACGTTTTATTGGCGTTGAGAATCGGAGCGTTGGGATAGTTCCAGCCTGCTATGGCTAGATGGCGTGAGTCTTCAGGTGTGTAACACAAGTATCCTCGCACAGTACTCGTTATTCCAGGATATCTGACAGTGTCCAATTCTTTATTGCACAATTCATAGGTACAGGAATCAAAGAGATAGGCTCCAGCAACCAATTTACCCTTGATGGTAATGATGCCATTAAACATGGCCAACCACGAATCTGCTTGATTGACTGTAATATCGATGACATCATTGTTTTTGAATGATTTCACATATGGGTAATAGGTGCGCCACTCCACTTTAGTGATGCTTTCATCGAATCTGGGTTTGCGGAAAACGTCGAACACGGGGGCTGACAACATTGTAGCCTTCGAGTGATTTGAGAAACAGGAAATTGGATAATGTGGATACTTCGACAACATTAGTCTGCACACTGTATCTCTGTATTTCATCATCTCAGATGGATACCTTTGGAGCATATCAGTTCGCAACGATCCCATAAGACGACATCGAAGCGAGGATAACGCACATAACAGGCAGAACATGAAACTTTGACTTCGACTATGTTTACACTGTACCTCTGCATTCTAGCATCTGACATGCCTAGAGCTATAGCAGATACGATCGCACTGACCATATAAGACGACTTCGAAGGACATATAACGAGAATAATAGGCAAGTGAAGATACTTCGACAACATCAGTCTGCACACTGTATCCTTGTATTCTATCATCTCACATAGACACCTCTGGAGCATATCAGTTCGCATCGATCAAATGGGACGACATCCAAACAGGTAGAACGCACACAACAGGCAGAACAAGAAACTTCGACTTCGACTATATATACACTGTAACTTTGCATTCTAGCATTCGACATGCCTACAGTTATAGCAGATACGATCGCACTGACCATATAGGACGACTTCAAAGGACATAAAACGAGAACAATAAGCAAGTAAAGATACTTCGACAACATCAGTGTGTACACTGTATCTCTGTATTCTATCATCTCACATAGATACCTCTGGAGTATATATGTTCGCAACGATCACATAAGACGACATCGAAGCGTGTATAACGCACACAATAGGCAGAACAAGAAACTTCGACTTCGACTATGTTTACACTGTAACTTTGCATTCTAGCATCTGACATGCCTACAGTTATAGCAAATACGACCGCACTGACCATATAAGACGACTTTGAAGGACTCATGATGAGAACAAAAAGCGAGTGAAGATACTTCGAAAACTTCAGTCCGCACACTGTATCTCTGTATTCTATCATCTTACATGGAAACCTTTAGAGCAAATCAGTTCGCAACGATCATATGAGACGACATCGAAGCGGGAATAACGCACACAACAGGCAGAACAAGAAACTTCGACTCCGACTATGTTTACACTGTACCTCTGCATTCTAGCATCTGACATGCCTAGAGCTATAGCAGATACGATCGCACTGACCATAAAAGACGACTGTGAGGAGACTTAGACAACATCAGTCTGCACACTGTATCTCTGTATTTTATCATCTCACATAGATACCTCTGGAGCATATCAGTTTGCATCGTTCTTATGAGACGACATCCAAACGGGTAGAACGCACACAACAGGCAGAACAAGAAATTTCGACTTCGACTATATTCACACTGTAACTTTGCATTCTAGCATCCGACATGCCTACAGTTTTAGCAGATACGATCGCACTGACCATATGGGACGACTTCAAAGGACATATAACAGGAACAATAAGCAAGAAAAGATACTTCGACAACATCAGTCTGCACACTGTATCTCTGTATTCTATCATCTCACATAGATACCTCTGGAGTATATATTTTATGTCTTCGGGATGAAATCCAGTGTTTTGAAAAACTTTTTATTTCAATTACAAACGATTAAGACATATGGTGAATTTCTTCCGAGAGCTTCTCGTACTTGGATGTTTCGTACTTGCTGTTCGAAAGAGAATTAAAAATATCTCATTATGAAAAGATTCGCATAAGGCCTAGACAATGAGCTTTTGTTACTTACGCGATAAGAATAATCCAGTCCAGGATGCTCTCGTGTATGTGACATGATATTTATTACAAGGTTAATTTATTTATATCCATGCAATAGAAAAAGGAATAATAATTATTATAAGTCCAGAGGGTATATCTTCATATAACACCTCCCCCTTTGAGATTTTTTATACCATCTGATAGATTTATAAAAAATTCAAAGAACGGAAAATTGATTGAAAAAGATAAAAATATGGTTATATATGGAATACAAAGAACTCAGAGAAAAATACAATCATCTTAGATCCTCTTCGGAGTTCTTCTTGACGTCAGTGGGGTTGATGGTGTCTGGAAGACAATCTCGTCCTCTTCAGTGGGGTTGAACCTTGTAGTTAGGTGAATTGAAGGCCGTCTTGAAACCATAGATTTCACGTTACAGTAGTTGAAGATCTGGGCACAACAGCCTCGGCTTGGGTGGTCTCCATCGTTATCAGAATAAGAGTTGAAATAACCCAGAAGTCTTTTTTTTCAGGCAACATTTGAATATTAGCCAGAAAATCACGAAAAATATGAGTACTATACAAATATAAGTGAAAGTACTCAAATGTCTTTGATAGAACGGTTCGTTGATCATTTTATTCAAAGTTTTATCGTATTCTTGAAGTTTTTCTTGAGCAATGTTCAATTCGTCCATGTTCAAGTGGTTTATCTTGATTGGTTTGAGATTTTGGATTTCTTCTTTCTTCGGAAATTGTTCGCAACAGTTATACGATAATTCTGGTATGTAAAGTTGAAGTGACAATGAATTATTGTTGTCGAAACTGGCGTATACTCTTGTGGTTCCAATAAATGCACTGCATTTTGGTTCAAGAGTCAATAATGAGTTTTCTTGAATTATTTGGGTTTCCGAATTCTTACCTGGACAGGTAATAGTAACAGGTAACCTATCCGATATGGTTAACAGCCATTTGTTATCTGCTAATTTCTGAACATTATAATCTTCAATGTTGATCACTAGTTTTTCGCAGTTGGATGTGATTACTGATTCCATCAAGATCGATATTTCACAGGGTGATTCATGTGAAAGAGCTTTTGGAAAATGGTTGTAACAGATACGAAATTCATTCTCGTATATCTCTGTACAATCCTCATATTTGACCGTAATATACTGTTTGCTATTCCTTGCAATTGCAGCATACTTATAGGACGGTAAAATTGTATGGAAAAGGTTGGTTTTAGGATCTTTTGTAGGGACTGAGTAAATATGATGAAAGTCATAGTCTGAGTCTTCTACGATTGGTATATGAAGTATAAAAACTATTCGTTCATTCGTTTGGAATGCTTCCAGCTTTAAAGATAATGGAATTTTTGTCAATTGTTCGATCAATAAATTTGGATCGATTACTGATGGGTGTATTATCTTTAGCCTAGCAAAAGTGATGCTATTTATGATATCATTAAGTTGATCCAAAATAATGGAATTTGACTGCATTATTTGTTCAATCATTTCCAAAATTCTTAATTGAAGTTCGAAAAAGTATCTCGTTTCTCTGTTTTTCGTCATTTCTTGTTGAATTAGTTTCAAATCTTCATTGAACGTATATTCGTCGATACTTAGTTTGGTTAGGGTATTATTGAAACTTTTGATTGTACTTGAAACAATCTGAATTTGATTTTTCATTAATAATTGTAGATTTTTATCGTCTTTTTCTAACTTATTTATACACTCATTATAAAATTCTCCGTCTGATGCATCAAGATTTCCAGTTAAAACTTTCCAAACTGATCCTGCAGCATTTATGAGACCTCGTTTAAAACGGTTTGTTGTAGTTAATAAAATTTCGGAAAATTTTTCTTTTATTTGTTGATTCATTGTGTTCAATAATGATAACTGTGCTGAAAATGCCACTTTGAAAGATGGGTTGACATCTTCTTTGTCAATCATATTATGTAATAGTTCTTGAGCATTCAAACTTTGTTGAAATGAAATTTTCAATAAAGTAATATTTTTATAAGCAATTAATTTCCATTCATCGTTAGAAATTCTAGCAATTCCTTCCTTTTGAAAGAAAATACCTGCTGGAGTTTTGATTTTTTCTATTCTTGCTCTGGCTCCGTAGATTGCCCTGCAACAAGAGATGCTAGTTTCAATCTGTCAAAATTGACAATTGTGGTTTTATTATTATCTAGCTCTATTTCCGCTGTATTCGTGTTTGTAATTCTTATTATTTTGAATGGACCATTTCTTTCGTTTCGCATTTTATTTCCGTATTGAGATTCGTCAATATAGACATAGTCTCCTACTTTGTATTGGTATCTCGGTCTAACATGTTGATCAAACCTTTGTTTGGCTTTCTGTTTCGCATTATTCAAATTAGTTATAACTTTTTCAAAAATAAAAGATGCGGTGTTCTTTACTTCATTCATAAAATTAGTTTGAAGTTCTTCTTCACTATACAGGGTGTAACTGAATAAGTGTAAAACATTTAAGGAGGTGATTCCTCATCGAAAAAAAGATAGGATCTTTCATATAAAGAAACTTCATTGGAGCATCCCTTGTTAAGATACAGCCCCTTAAAGGGGGTACATAAAATTTGTATAACAATTTTTTTCACAAGCACTGAAAAAGTTACAATATTGAAATTAACCTGACAGCGTCATACCAATTTAATTGTCACTATCGCTAATAGCGACCTACTAGATAGATTAGTTTCGTATTTTCGCATTTATGACGATGTATCTCTGTAGTTGTTCGTAAAATAATGTTTTGCTGTTTACTGGTTTATTTTGGGCAAAAAACCCAAGAGACATTTTTTGTTTAGAATGAAACAGGCTATCGGAAATAAATTTTTAAATGGTAA